CCCTCCCCTCCTCTACCCTCTTCCCTCTCTGCCCTCCCCTCCCCTCCCCTCCCCGCACCTCTTCTGCAGCCTGTCCAGTATCTCCCCCGCCGCCTGCTGCTCCCCCGCCGCCGCCACCTGCAGCCCCAGGCTCGCATCCGCCACCAGGCAGCCGAGAGCGTCCCAAAGCTGCGCACAGCTCCGTTGCCGTTTGCCGTTGGTCGTTTCGCAGGGCAGGAGCAGGAGCAGGAGCAGGAGGAGCAGGAGCAGGAGCAGGAGGAGCAGGAGGAGGACCAACATGTAACATGTGTCAATGTCAAGACTCATGATGATCGGGGCTGGATGGAACGTAGCGGGTCAGGACGTGAAGCTTCACTAGTCAATGTGGGGGGCGTGTGTGTTTGTATATAGAGGGGTAATGAAGGTGTGTCGAGAGGTTGATACGCAAAAAGGCGAGCTACAGGGTGGTTGGCTGAGTAGTTATATGGTAGTTAGTCGTTAGTTACACTCAGCTACACGAGTAGCAGTACTGGCATCCCACCTGCTTAAACATGTATTGGTCTCGGCCCAACCCCACGATACGAGACAGCCAGTTGCGGTTCGTGAAGTCGGTGTAGTACTCCCGAATACCCTGGGGTGTGTGCGGGAGATTGATGTGTGTGCATGTGTATGTGTGTGTGTTGGGGTGGGGGTGGGGGGAACGAAGGGCGAGAGGATTGTGTGTGTGTGTGCTGTAGGGGAAAAGGAGAGATGGGAATAATCATTCAATAACGGATCAACAGCCGACGTGTAAAGCTGCTGAGCTGCCGGATGAGGGTCAGGAGCCGAGGATGCCAGAGTACCGCGCCAGGGGTCGTACAAGTACGGCAGTGCTGGAAGTAGTAGCTAGAGGGGTCCCAAAGGAGGTGATCGGGGGGGAGCGGGGGCCCCCCTCTACCCCCACCTTCACGCCTATGCCGGGGTTGTTCCCAACTCTGTCCTCAACCCTCTCCCCCCCCCCCCCTCCACACACAACCGCTTCCACCATCTCACCTTGAGTGTATTGATGAGGCGGTGCATAATGTTGCGGTAGCTGTGGGTGTCAGATTGGAGCTGCTTGTTGCGCGCAATGAGCTGAGGGGGTGTGCGGGGTGTGTAGGGAATGGTGTGTAAGGAGGAAAGGGAGGGTGAGCGCGAGGGGAGGAGAGGGGAAGGGGGTTCAGGAGAGGCCGGGCTGGGCCGGGAAGAGACCGGAAAGGGGGACGAGGGGCCCCCCGGTCCCCCTCCCCAACAACCCGCGGCTGTTGTTGCTGGTGTGACAACCTTGTGCGCCCTACCCGCACACTCGATCATCTTCGGCCAACATCTCCACACCTTGCGAGGCAATTCTCCTCTCCCTTCCCTAACCAGCCAGCCGCTGGCCGCCCAAGGAAATCGCATTCAGGTCTCACGTGCTTATCCGCCCGTTTTCCATCCTCTCCACACACCGCCCACATCCCCTCTCCTCCCTCTTTTTCACACCCAACGCACAGACACGCACGCACACACACACACACACACACACACACACCTCCACATACCATCCTCGCCAATCCCTGCCCACGTCTCAGATCTTTCAACACACGACGGACACCAGCACATCGCCTGCCCATCCAAGCCCCTCCCTCCCCGCCACCCGCCATTACCTGCAGCAGGTCCACTGCCCGCGTGTTGAGCTGCTGCCAGTTCCTCTTGTTGACGAGCGCCCTCTCCCCCATGTCCAGCAGGCTAGCCAGCAGCTGGGCGGCGGCGTCCCCAGGCCAGGGGCACATGGAGCCCGCCTCGCGGACCAGCAGCTTCAGGGTGGGGAGGGCCTTCTCTAGGAGGCCCTGAGGAGGGGAGGAGGGGAGGAGGGGGAAAGACGAACCACGAACGAGTGGGGGTGAGGGGAAAGACGAACCACGAACGAGTGGGGGTGAGGGGAAAGACGAACCACGAACGAGTGGGGGTGAGGGGAAAGACGAACCACGAACGAGTGGGGGTGAGGGGAAAGACGAACCACGAACGAGTGGGGGTGAGGGGAAAGACGAACCACGAACGAGTGGGGGTGAGGGGAAAGACGAACCACGAACGAGTGGGGGTGAGGGGAAAGACGAACCACGAACGAGTGGGGGTGAGGGGAAAGACGAACCACGAACGAGTGGGGGTGA